TCCCACCCATCCCACCCCAGGGGAGGACATCCATCACACAGTAATCTCGTGTGTGGGAAATTAACGTCTCCTACCCCAACCCTGCAGGAGACGGGACCTCCATTTATTCGTCCCTATCCGAGAAGACTAGAATATCTAACCATTTCTTGATGTTATAGAAAGGTAGCAAATTCTTTTCAATTATTTTAAGACCTTGAGTGTTGGTCCGGCCAGGGCTCGAACCCTCGACCTCCTGCACAACAGTCCAGCGCTCTATCCATTGAGCTAACTGGGAGGCGGTTAGCTCAAGCAGTGTGTGAGAAGGAGAAATTAGATGCAAGTAATTCTTTAGGTTCACAGGATCAATGCTTTATATGGACCCAGCTAGGTGGTCTCCATTAGGAAAATAGTAAGAGATCATTGTAGGTGTTGAAAATTTGGAAAGAGCTTCACAGTACCCAAGAATACTTTCATTTTCTAACCTGGTGTTACAGTCAGAGTGAACTCATGAAGAATGTTTGGATCCTTGAAGTGAACTTGACAGGATTCTGTGACAAAAATAAGGCAAAAAGTTACATTAGAAAAAGTCTTGCAATGTTTACTCTTGAGAAAAAATCATATCATGTGCAGTGTCAACTTATTGACTTCTGAACCTGGCTATGTAATTAATAAACATTAAGGAAACACTTTCAATGAACAATATCACAGATCAATATCCAAAAGATAGACTTAGGTTTTCTACAGCATAATCCTTTCTTTTCATGAATGCCTTCCAGCCCTATCAATTTGTATATCTGACTTTAAAATCATGATAACAGCAACATTTTTTTTTAATTTTAAAATTCAACAATGCAGCATTTCAATGCTTTGGAGCACTCTAGAAAACCATTAAGCAGTACACATTGAGTCACGAAATTGAAATAGTTTTTTCTATGCAGAAGAATTTGGGCGTTAATTAAACAAAGGAGATTGAAGAGTTCTCCAGCCGCCTTTTGATTGGCCTGAGAATTTTTAATTTAGAGACGGAGCCGTTATGTAACTTTTCCTCATGTTACTTTAGCTCTTCTGCTGCATCAACTTTTCTTAATAAAAACCCTGAAAGTGTCTAACAAAAAAGGAAATTAAGCAGAGAAAAGTTACCCAAGGAAAATTAAAAGAGTGCACGCACTTAGCAAGCTGATAGTACAGAAAATTATACTCACAAGGCATACAAGCTGACGCCGAAAGATTTCAAAATAAAACAAACTACGACTTTATAACCATGAATTTTGTAATGCACAGATTACAATAATCACACTATCATGTTTGAAACTAACACATCTTCATCAAAGTTAGCATATTTCTAGCTATTAACTCACCCGGTACATTTTCCTCGAGTTCTGTCACTTCTTAAAACGGAAAAAGAAGGCGTGATAGAAAAACACAAGAAAAATGAAAAAACATGGCTAGATCAAAGCTTTAAAACCAAAACATCAAGTCCACTTTCTAACTATCAACGTTATTGGAACGGTAATTTAATTATTTCCGACAGCAAAACGTGTTCATGCCCAAACTGCGTAACAGTTTCTTGGACGAGTTTACCTTTCGTGAGCAATTTGTCGCGAATAGATGTTCTCCCGCTTTTCGTGTTTCCTATCCCGTGATCACCCTTTTCCTTCTTATCCCGCTCTTCTTTAATCTTCTTTGCGAGAGTAATCATTTCCTTTTACAAGGAGAGAACCTTCGCCAAACATTTGCACCCGAAATTCTCTGCATTACCTATCTCAACAGCTTCTCCATGTTGAAATGTGCTTGACTTTCGTGACTACGTCATGTAAGTTTACTTGTGAAGTACAGCCGAGTCTTCAGCATTACAGATCAGCGGTATAACGATCATTGTTAGTAGGTATATCATGTATGGAGAATTATTTTAAACCCCAGGTCAACATAACGATGACGATGCAGTTAGCGCTTTCTGTAGCGTGGGTGCGAACGGACATTATTTTATTTAAGGTTGTTCTTTGTTGTTGAGTTTTCTAGGCGGTTTCTTCGCAAAATGTGGTAAATCTACAGCTACGCAAGGATCTTAAGGTAATGGAATGAAAATTGTTTGTACGTAATCGTATCTTTACATCAAACAAAACCTGTTTGCGTTATTTTTATTGTGATAAGTATTTTCGTGGAAATGTATTCGCTCACTTGCATAAAAGCTGGGCTGACTTATTATGAAGACTTACTTTCCGAAAGAATGGCGTTTAAATAGCCTGAAAATTTGTGTGTTTTGTTTCATTTTGTTTCTGGGATGAAGTAATGTACGTTTATATCATCAATAATCCTACGATTCGACTCTTAATTTGTGATAAGTGAATTTTCATTTCAGCTATGTGCCTTATATTTCCTTGTTTGTAAGTAAAGAGAATTTGGATTGTTATCAGGTCAACAACTTGTAAATGACGGCGTCATTTTCATCACATGACTTCTTGTAATTGTATTGATATTAGAAGGCGAATTGAAGCTAGATGAATGAATATCATGCTTAGCGGTGAAATAACTAGTCGAGAGATTAATTTTTTTTTGTTAATCTGATCAAAATTCTGTAACATACTTCTAACTTTCGAAACCATGTGTGGTTTCTGTGATGGTAATGGATTTTGATTTATCACTAAGTCAAGAAACAACAGCTCTGTTAGCAACATTCTGGCAAGGGACTTGCATTCCACTGAGGGGGAAAATCACTCATACTAGCCGTGTCTTACTGTGGGAATTAGAATATTATTTCTGATTCTATGGGAGTCTGTCATATTCTTGTTTACAAATAAATATACCCCTTGCCATGAAGTGGCCACACTTAACAGGAACTTTAGACTCAAAATAACACAGCTCTTGATTCCTAAACAGATGATAATACTTCCAAGGTAATAGTTTAACCGCCTCCCAGTTAGCTCAATGGATAGAGCACTGGACTGTTGTGTGGGAGGTCGAGGGTTCGAGCCCTGGCTGGACCAACGCTCAGGGTCTCAAAATAATTGAGAAGAATTTACTGCCTTTCTATAACATCAATAAATGGTTAGACATTCTAGTCTTCTCAGATAGGGAC